TATTTATTTTGAGAGAGAGAGAGCGAGCATGAGTAGGGGAGGGGCAGAGGGAGAGAGAGAATTCCAAGCAGGCTCTGTGCTGTCAGTGTGGAGCCTGACGTGGGGCTTGAACCATAAACCGTGAGATCATGACCTGAGCTGAAATCAAAAGTTGGACACTTAACCTACTGTGTCACCCAGGCACTCCATCTTGATTCTTTTTAACAATGATATTTTGAATGTCTTAGAGCTATGTAGTTGTTCATTTTTTTTTTAATTGATGGGATATATTTTGGAATCTGTATCATAATCTGTACTGTACCTCTTTTAAACTCATCTGCTTTCACTTACCTGACTCCTTAGGTCAGATATTCTTCTATTTGGTGATAATCATAGCACCTCTCATTTATTTTTGTTTTCCTTCAAATGTTTCTGGTTTTTAAAATGTCTGATTGTATTTTGGTTGCACGTCGTGGGTGTACTTTTTCTTTTCTCAGCCCAAATGAAAATCTACTTGTCTTGTTGGTGAATGATGGGTCAGATCACAGGACTCAGATTCAGATCAGATAGGATGACCTCACCTGCTGATGATAATTGGGGCAGGATGGGCCATGGGCTGGTCTGACAGTGGGTAGCTTGTCTTTTAGGTGTTTGCTTCCACTCTTGGCACTGGCCTTACCAGAACTGTCTCCTCAGAGATATCTACTGTTTTCTGGGGATTTGCTCCCTGGGGTTAGTTACACCTTTTCTTGATAGTCAGTACTATTAGGGTTTCACTCTTTTTCCTTTATCTTTACTTAGGGGTTGAAGCTGGGAAGTTTGTAACACAGGCTGACTCTACCATCTTGATCCAATCAGCAATGTGTTTCCTGAAGGCCTTCTTCCCTGTCTTGCCTCCAAGCATGACTCATTGCACAGTCATTCTGGTTCCACATAGCACTTTGTCTCTACTTCTTTCATAGTGCTTATTCCACTGTAACATTTCTCAAGAAGTATCTATTTGTCCTTGTCTTTGCCCTGCTGAATTAAATTCTGTAGCTAAGACATTGTGTAGGTGTCAGATTGCCATAGACATTTCATCCAGGGTACAGAATAACTGGTTTAGTAGTCAGCAAGTGAAAATGGGGTTTGGAAATGTAACATAGGCTATACTATAAGATACAGAATGGCTCCCCTACTTGGTTTTATGTATTTATCTCCTCAAGAACCTGCTTGATGTTTAAGTCAAACTTTCCAACTCTATGAATAAACATCTTCCAAAGCATCAAATTATACTAGTTTGAAGTTAGATTGATTTTGCAAAGGATAAAGTTGTATCCTTAGAGATGACTGCCTCTGGGGGAAAAGAGGGCCCTTCCCTTATTAGATTCCAAGGATTGAATCCTCACTGGGATTAAGTGTATTATCTCTGTTTCCTTTGCCTTTTTAAAAAAACTTTTTATTTCTTTCTTTTTTCTTTTTTCTTTTTTTTTGAGAGAGAGAGAGAGAGATAGAGAGCAGGGGAGGGGCAGAGAGAGAGGGAGACAGAGGATCCAAAGTGGAATCCAAAGCAGGCTCCATGCTGACAGCAGAGAGCCCAATGAAGGCTCAAACTCATGAACTGTGAGATCATGATCCGAGGTGAAGTTTGATGCTCACCTGACTGAGCCACTTAGGTGCCCCTAAAAAAACTTTTTGAGAGAGAGAGAAAGATTGTGTGTGCATGTGTGCAAGTGGGGGGAGGAGCAGAGGGAGAGAGAGAGTCCCAAGCAGGCTCCATATTCAGTACAGAGCCTGACATGGGGCTTGGTCCCATGACCCTGGGATTATGACCTGAACTGAAATCGAGAGTCAGACGCTCGACTGAGCCACCCATGCACTCCTCCTTCACCTTTTCTGGAAGGTCTCTGTTTAATGAGGAAGCTAATGATGGAAGAGGCTGGAGTTACCAATTCATTAATTAGCTAAATCACAATACTCTTTCCTACTCTTAAAAAATCCTATTTAATTAGGAAAATAAGAAACAGTTTCTCCTTTCATATCTGTCATTATCTGAACTTATTCAAACGCTGGCATCTAGGTAGTATGATTAGGCTCTTAAAAGACCGATTATGCCTGGGGCTCCTGTTATGAATTTTTGCTATTATATCTACCATCACATTTCAAAAGATTGGAATTGGCAAAAAGATTCCAAAATAACAGGGCATCTGGGTGACTCAGTCGGTTAAGCGTCCGACTTCAGCTTAGGTCATGATCTCACAGTTCGTGATTTTGAGCCCTGCATTGGGCTCTGTGCTGACAGCTCAGAGCCTGGAGCCTGCTGCGGATTCTGTGTCTCCCTGTATCTCTCTGCCGCTCCCCTTCTCTCTCTCTCTCTCTCTCTCTCTCTCTCTCACTCTTTCTCTGTCTCCCTCTCCCCCTTACTCTCTCAAAAATAAGTATTAAAAAAAATACTACCAAGAATTACCAAGAATGTATTGAAACTGATAACAAGAATTGCCAAGACATCAAGATATTAAATAATTCTTTTATTCAGATTATAATGGATCTTGTTTCAGTTCTGTGTGTTTGTGTGTAGTTTTTAAATCAGCTAAGCCACATTCTTAACCCCCACTTTAAAAATGCTTCATTGCATATTGAATCTAGATGTATAGGGAGATCAGATAAATGCCTGAAGTGTAGAGCCCCTATGGGGACTAGTGAGAAATAAGACTGCTCATATGGACCATAAGGGCCTTTTCTAAGGTTTCCTCTTCCATCTCATGCTGTTCCTTTTTTTCTGGAATCTTTTGGAGATAAGGAGAAGCCATTGAAGGACATTTAAGCAGGGGGCTGACCTTAGATTTATGTTGTAAGGAGATCACTGGCCTTTTCCTGGGGAGGATGATTGAAGTGGAATGAAATAAAAGACCGGTTAGGAGGACACTCCTATGCTGGGTACCATGAGCAGAGGCAGTGGCAGTTGATATAGATGGATAGCGAAAGATCAGAGCAAGATTAAGGTACAGAATCTGTAAGACTGAAGTTGCTGATCGGATGTGAAGGCAAAGAAGAGTGAAAAGTTAAGTGCACATTGATTCTTAAGGTCTGTGATAAAATACTACAATCCCCAAAAGACATTGAGTTTAAGTACCATTCCTGTCCCAGGAAGGAAAATGTTCCTATAAAAGAGCACACCAGCATTTGATCAGATTGCAGACCCTTTTTATCCATAGGAATGAAAAGTCAAGCTTTTAGATCATTCTGTTTCTTCTGCTTTCTGAACCTTATTCTACACCCACTGTTTCTAGTCCTTAAGTATTTACTAATTGTACATATAGTGAAGCTGTTTGATTTTTCTCATCTTTCATAACAAATATACTAATAATGTCTAGGGCCAACTGTATGTGATTTAATTTTTAGACTGTGGTAGTTTTTAGATTGCTGTTTTTATTTTCATTCTCTCTTCAGGCATAGTCAGCTATGAATACTCAACAAAATCATGCCCTTTGGGGTGATTTTCGACTTTCTTACTTTGGGAAGCATATTTTTGTGTCAGTCATGTAGGGTTCAGATGTGTATTATTAAGCACTTGAGCCCCTATTTTCCACATTGGACCATTTAACACAGTTCCTTGTAAATAGAAAAATTAGACCATCTGTGTGCTATTTTGGATATTTCTGAAGACTTCATCTAACTTAGGAGAGTAGGTACCTGTATTCCAAACCCATATTCTATCTCTTGATGTACCAAAAGTCCTGCCATGCAGGAGGTAAAAGGGAGGTAACTTAAGCATTCATGGGTGATTTATAGGAGCACCCTGGGGGCTTTTCCTCACTGTGACTGGAGAAGCATATGCAAAAGGCTTTGGCTTTCTTAACCACAGATGTTTCAACATGTGTTTGGTAGTATGTGACCATAGCAGTGCGTTTCATTAGAAGTACATGACTTATATTTTCACAGTTGCTCTCACCACTAGGGCCCCTGGAGGGCCAGGACTTGTTGATGTAATCAGTTTTCTGCATCTCTAATAGCTATTATTCTCTGAAGTGTGGAAATAAGCTGAGTTACAGAGTTTGAATTGATATTCTTCATTTTCACCCTACAGAAATGCATCTTCTGCAGACACCGGGTCAAGAAGGTCTCTGGAGCCTGCATCCAGTGTTCCTATGGCCGTTGCCCAGCCTCCTTCCATGTCACATGTGCTCATGCTGCTGGGGTGCTGATGGAGCCTGATGATTGGCCATACGTGGTGAACATCACATGCTTTCGACATAAGGTCAACCCAAATGTGGTAAGGCCCTCCTTTCCTTCCCTGATGCCAGGACTGCATAAGAATTCCCTCCTGTCCCATGGCTAGGATGCTCTACTCTGTAATGTTACTTATTGTTGACATGTCTAGACTGTGAGTTCCTTGAGGTCAGGGATTGTACATTATTATTTACTTGTATTTGCCCAGGACCCATCAGTGTCTGGCACATGCTAGATACAATAATTATTTATTGAGTTGAATAAGTGAATGAACAGATGAATGAATAAAATTCTTTATGCCTGTTCTGATTTTGGATCTGTATGTAGGTCTAACTGAGTATGGCTGTATAGATTGTGCACCGCACATATCCAGGATGAAGGTGAGATCACTTCTGAGAAGGGAATGATGTGAAAGTACCACTTGAAAACATGCAGTGTTTAATCCATGTACCTGTACATTCTGGCCTTTGGGTTTTATTTCATCTCTTCTGGAAGAAACAAAGAGCAGTAACACAGTAAAGAGTGAATGGAGGTGGTCATAAACATTTGGGTCCTTGTTGTCTGTGATGGGATCAGCTAGGTATAGCATGTGGAGGCCCTAGGAGGAATGAGGACAATTTCAGAAAAGGAGAAATGTAGAAGGGAAGTATAGAGGTCACTTTTTTTCTGTTTTTTTCTATTTCACTCAGGACTGAACCTATTTCTGGGAAAAGAGTGTTTGCAAGTAAATAGCGTGTGAATTTAACTATAAATTAGTTTACCTGTCCTTAGTAAATGGAATCTTTTGTCTGTTTTAAGTGCTTAGAAAAACTAGGACAGTGTGGAGATGGTTGATATGCCTTTGTTACTTTTCCAGTTCCCTGTAATTGTTTTTTGCTGCCAACAAGGAGGCTAAAGCTTCAGCTTTGCTAACTTGCTGCCCTTTGTTATCCCTGGGAGGCTTGGCCACTGACTATTTGCAGCCTAACATGCTTGTCCTATGTCTCTAATAACCTTCTGTGAGCAGACTGCCAGGGTGTCAGTATGGACTTGGGGAGTCATGACCCATACACAACAAATCTCCTGGATTTTTAATGATTCCAGCAACTTCCATTGGCATTTTGAGAGATACTTGATGTTTGCGGGTTGAGACTTTGTACGGATGTGTGTGAATGTACAAATGTACGAAATGACACCACCGTCACCTCTATTTTAAACTTATTTTCCATGTTTTAGGTGACAAGTTGCATATTCATTCATGCTTTTTCCTTAATTTCTTGAATTAATGGGCTCTTGCTAAGAATAGTATTATATATTCAGAAGAAAATACATTTTAAAAACTTTAAAAAATGGCAGTAATAACACATTGCATTACTGTGGTGCTTTGCCATTTACAGTGTACCATCAATACCTCATTAGATGACACATGGGAATGCATTTGAGATGTGAATCAGATCATGACCTCCAGAGTAGTTTGTGTTCACACTTGGATTCTGCCAGCAGCACATATGCAACCTTGTGCAAGTTTTGCCCTCTAAGCCTCAGCTTCCTTGTCTAGAAATGATGGCATGCCTATGCTCACCATGTTGTTTTTAGTCCATGGCACAGAATAAACACTCAGAAAATGAAAGCCATATTATTACTTTCTCTTTTACTACTGCTGTCCTGCTGCTGGCTTTGGTGCTACAATTCTGTGTGAATGAGGCCACATGAGTAGTATTATCCCTGCTTCAAGGATAAGCAACCTAAGTGCCAAAAGGTATAATTCCTTGTCCAAGTGGATTCAGTTAATGAGCAACAGGTGCTGGAATGTCAGTGCTTTTTCAGCTCATACTCTATTATTTGTTGAATTCCCAACTCCAAACCCTGAATGGAGCTAGAGGTGTTCATCTAAAGCTTTGCTTGGGATCACACATTCTTATTCTAATATTCCAAAGCTCTGTGGTTACTGATGATTATATTGAAGTTGCTATTAAAGAGATCCAGATGTTTAATCAGGACTTCATTCCTCTTAACTGTGATGTGTGGTTCAGTCATGTTTATATTACTGTTTGTTTCATAAATTATGACCAAAAAGAACATCTACTCTCCTCTATAGATTGACTTTAAGTTTGGTACACTTTGTCAAATGTGAGGAAAACATCATATAATTTACATTAAATGAGTTTTTCCTTATGAAGGTAACATTTTAGCATTTCTAAATTGCCTTGAGAAGTTCTCTGGCAGGAAGTACTGTGAATACTACATTTCCAAAATATATTTCTGGTAGCTATTACTTATCCCTTATTCTTCATTTGGACTTCAAGTATGGATTCTTCCCCAAAATGTTTGACAACTAACCAGAAGGAATTCATGGAATCTGGTAATTTGGTTCAGAGCATTGTGAATTGTCCCTGTTTACATTGAATATGCTTTAGTTTTCAAGCATACAAAAGTTCAAATTCATTCCAGTATTTCTCTTCGTGTAAATTGCATATGCCAGGGGTTGTGCTCTCAAGAGCTGGAACCATAATGTGGCTATATTTTCCACCATACCTTGATTATTTGAGAGTAATGGACAATTGCTGAATCATAGCAGTGAAAACTGTAAATAAAATTCAGGCTAACTTGGCAGCCTAATCCAGTCATTCTACAGAACAGAGGATGCCTATTTAGTTTCAGTGAAATGAAGTATAAAGCTGCAGTTCCTTCAATAGAGTCTACATTTTTACTCATTTTAGGGTTTTTGTTTCCTTTATTTTTTTCTCCCAATTATTTGCTTTTTGAACCAAAAAGGACTGTTTTAAGGCAACTTTACCCTTCCTTTAATGCCAAAAATGTCTTAAATATAATAGTTTTTTCAATGTTATTGAGCTTTTGAGCACAAAATCACCCTGGATAAGAGTGCAAAAATCTCATCTGATTTATTGTAATGAATTCTTCCATTAGAAGTAAGCACCCTTTTAATTGAAAAGGTGGTATTTGAAAAAATAGGCAGCTTACAAAGTCTTAAAGCTATGAATACATTATATAAAGTGCACAGCTAATCCCAGTTATTTTAATCTAAAGTTTAGTATATATTTTTCAGTGTTTTTGTCGAGGATACTTTTTGACTGGCACCTGCTGTCTTTCAAATGTAAGATTTCATTCGTGTGTGTGTGTGTGTG